CATTTGTTCTTATGGATGGAGATGTTGGGATGAGACCAGGCTCCTTAAAGTCGAGGACCCCCTGACCCCCAATGCTGGGAGGCTGTGAGGAGGGCCCGCCCCACCCCCTGTAGTGCGGAGGGCCTGGCTTGTCACCACAGCCAGACGAGTGCCAGCTCTGCCCGGGGCTCCCGCCCTTTTGCTCAAGGCTGGAGACTTGAGCCAAAAACAACCCTGCCTGCCCCTGCCCCCTGCCCCTGCCTGTCGTCTGGCGGTGTCCCCACCTGCAGGGAGACCCTTCCCCCAGATCTGTCTGCCAACTCCAGACAGGAGGGAAGGAGGGCCGCAGGGGGAAGAGGCCCTCGCCCGCCGCTCCCTGAGGAGGGACGCCCCTCACCTCCGCCTCACAGATGGGGGAACCCAGGTCCAGGGTGGGGGGAAGCCCCTTGTCCGTGGTTGTTCAGCCAGAAAGTGGCCGAGGGGGCCTGAGACCGAGCGGGGCCTCCAAGCCCGCACTGCACCCCACATGCGCCCGCACACGAGGCTCGGTCTGGCAGCCGCCCCACTCTCTCCCGCTCGGCTCCTCACTCGTCCCTGAACAGGAACGCCCACCACAACAGAGATGAAATGTAGATGCTGCCCAGGGGCCACGCCGGCTCGGCGGGGGGGGGGACCCCGAGCAGCCAGCCGGGCGCCCACTGGGCCCCGGACAGCAGCGTGAAGGCGGACAGACTTCACAGGGTTGTAGTGTCCGCGCCCTGTGCGGTGCTGCCAGAGCGGGGGTCAGGGTCACCCTCAGGGCAGTGTGGGCCTCGCCGCCCCCGGCACCCGCGGCCGGGGTGTCGGTGTGTGGCCTTCCCGGCAACGGCCCGCGGACATAAATAACGTCCAGCGGGCTTTGTGGCTGGACTTGGAAAACGCTGATGGGTCCCAGGTGTGAGCAGACAGGCTGGCTGCACGCTGTTCCCGTCCGTTTCGGGGGGCCCCGCTGCTGGGGGCGCCGGGCAGGGGCAGCGGGGGTGCTTTCCTTTAGGAGGGACGCGGGGCTCCTGCCTCAGCGATGCTTTCTTCCGGGCATTCCCCATCGGGCATACTGTCCTGGGGGGTCTCTATGTGCGACCCCTCTGAGACCCTTCCTGTGTGAAATCTTTGGGGGCTGTCCTCTGGATCAAGGTCACAAAGGGCCACCCAGGGTCTCTGTCCTCCAGGTGTCTGGCTTCTACGAGCACACAGGGCCTGGGCAAGAGTGGTGGGGACAGGGCGGATGGGGGACCCGTGGTCACAGCCATGGGCCAACCTTTGTCTGCACACGGGGGCTATCGACAGTGCTGTCCCTAAGTGTCCAGACACTGTCCCTCCTACTCCACAAACTCTCGGCTCAGGGCACCCAGGGCCGGGCTCTGGGTCCAGGCCACCTCTGGGTGCCGACAGTAGGTTGGGGGCTTGCATGCCAGGAGGCGTCTGATGGCACGTGCAGAAGATGGCTAGCACACTGCTCACGCTGCCGAGTGTGGCCCGGAGGGGGGTGGGGCAGCGGCCTCCCTGAGCCCTGGGAGCTGGCTAGAAATGCCGTCCCAGGCCCACCCCAGGTCTGCTAAGCAGTCCTGCACTCTGACAGGGCTGCAGGGAGGTCCTGTGCCCTTGCTGGGTCCCGAAACCAAGGCTGGACCCCACCCCTGGACCACCGTCCGGCTCTGCCCCCGACCACGACCGCCTGTCCTAGACAGCGCGCCGGGGACTCGATGGGACCTGATTTGGAAATAGGGTCCTTGCAGATGTAGTCACGTTAAGATGACATTGTGCTAAAGAGCGTGGGCCCTAAACCCGACGATAGAGACCCTCTGAGAAGAAAAGATGAACACGGAGATACACGCGGAGCAGTGTCCCCATGTGAAGTGTCGAGGCCTTGGCCCGGGGACGCCTGGAGCCCTGGAGGCTAAAGGAGGGAGGCAGGAGCCTCCCCCAGACCCCGGCCCTCAGAACTAGGAGAGAATATGGAGAGTATACCCATGCCGTCCTGCACCTCCCTCCCCAGTCGGTGGTCTTGTTATGGCCGCCCTGGGATGTTAACAGTGTGAGCTCCTAAACACCAGGCCCCACTGCACCCTGGGCCAGCCTGTCTTCCTTCATCACGGATGCCTTTGCCACACCTCCTGACTCAGGGCAAAAGGCTAGCACGGGGCGGGGGGTGGGGGGGCCCTCTGCAGGGGTCTTACAGCCCATCCTACTCAGGAGCAGCGGAGCACAGCACACCCGGCCCCTTGGGGAGTGAAGATGGTCCCGTCCATGCCTCCGGTGACCTGCACCACGCTGCCAGGACTCGGCCACAGAAGGCAGGGCCGGCAGACAGCTCGGAGGGGCTGCCGTGGCGCCCCGGGGGCCTTCTTGGTTGGTCCCACTTCTTTCCTCTCAGCTCCCCCTTTCTGCTTTGTCCCCTACCCCCAGTCTCTAAAGCAGGGCTGCTCAGTATTAGCCCCCAAGGAACATTTAGCAATGTTTGGGGACTCCCTGTGTTGCACGATATGGGGGTGCTATTGGCCAGAGAGAGGCCAGAGATGCTGCTAAATGTCAGATGCTGCTAATAGTGTGGAGGGTGAGACACCCGCTTCAGAGCCCTATGCGCCCTCGTCTGCCGGCGTCCCTGACCGGGTGAAGACCTCCCAGATTCCACGGATCTTCCTCCCCAGGAAAGTGAACGGAAGCCCCAAGTTTCACTGCGCATCAGGTGAGACCGCGTGAGCGGCTGTCTCAAGGCTGTCTGGCTCCCCAGACCGCAGAGCCTCTCGGTCTTTGTAACTCGAGTGCACCAGGCGCTTCAATGCCAAGGGCGTCTCTCCCTGCCCCTGAAATAAACTCAGCATGGCTCCCCACTAAGCATGCTGGCAGGAGCCCGCACACACCTCAGAAGCTGCTGGGCTCAAGCCTTGGCCTTTGCGGGGGCTTCCGGGGCCCTGCCCCGGGGCAGCTGGTGAGAGCAGCTGATGAAGGCATCTCTCAGCACCTGGCCTGCTCGTCTCTGGGGGCCCCTGACACTGCGGCTCACAGTGGGGCGACCCCACGGGGCCAAGGCCCGCACTCAGCTTCGGCCGCTCTGGGAATTCGCACTGCCTAGGCTGCGCCGCCTTGGCGCTTTCATTTAGAAATAGCCAGTCGGTGGTGGAAAAGCCCCTTCCAGCCACCGAGGTAAATTACGGGTGACATTTTGGGGTCCCTTATTGGGAAAATGGGATCGTTTCTTGGCGTCAGTAACCAATGTTTGCTTTTGCTTTTCACTTCTAAGTCATGGCGGAGATATGGAGGTTTTAAGAGATTCGGCTCACTCCTCTTCTCCTGCGTGGGCCCGGCTGTTTCCTGGCCCGAGGAACCGTAACCCCTGCTGGGATGTTACTGTGGGTCGGTAAGAACTTGCCACGCGCCGGACTCCGAGTCGGCCCTTCACTCATGATAACGCAGTGATGTAAACACCGCTCTACCTCCACCTGGCACTGTCCTGCAAATGGCAGGTGGGGGGCCTGGGATGGGGCCTGGGTCGGTGTGGATCACCCGACCTCGGCGGGTCCTTCCGAGTCTGAGATTTCATAGCCGTAGTGAGAGCGACAGAAAATCCCTCGGTGCCCAGACAAGGCACCCATTGCACAGAGCCCAAGATGGCAGCCCTGCACACCCCGCCCCAGCGAGCGGCCTCTCCCGCCCCATGGAGCCCCAAGTGTGTTCCTCCCGGTGGAGGGAGACGGGTTGAGGTCGGCCCTGCACAGCAGCAGCATCGTCTCCATGAAGAGCCGCAGGGCCGGCCGGGCGGAACAGTGCAGGAAGTCGGCAAGAACGACCGCCCCCCTTCGAAGGGCTGCCTAAGACCGAGTGAGCCCCCAAACTCAGAAGGGCAAGTGCACGCCCATCTGCTGCTGCTGCCCCAAGTCAGGGACAGAGGCGCTCGGCGACCTTGCCAAACCCTCGCTTCCCAACTGTCAAAGTGTTTGAAGGCCCCTCACGTGTTTTTGCAACATCCCTGCCACGGAAGTCTCCCACGCCAGCAGGCAGCGCAGCCTCCGAAGATGAACAAGACCCAGATGCTCCGTGTTGAACACACGGCTCCCGGGCGGGTCAGGGTAGAGAACGGCCCCGTGTGTTTTCATTGCTTTCAGGGGACGTCCTACAGACTTGTCACGAAACAGCACACTTCGGGGTCCCTAACTGGCCACCACAGGTGTTCTCGTCCCTGGACCCACATCATTCATTACTGATCATGGCTCTCATCAATAGCAGGTTGCTGTCGGCTTTATCTTGGGCACTGCTAGCCTCCTAAGGTAACATGCCGATGCCGTGTCCCGTCCTTAATGTGTTGTACAGGCCTCGCTGACCCCTTAACCTCACAGGACAGCTCTGCGGGCTAAGGGGCCTGTCCCTGGTGTTCATGGGAGGCAGGCCCCGTGCACAGGGAGATGGAGGGGTCGACGGGGGCGCCCCAGCAAACCAAGCCGCCAGGGCAGCCTTGCTCTCCAGGTGAGTGCACTTCGCGTTCTGCGCTGAGACAGGTTCTCGGGCTTTGCCCAGGAGCAGGGCTCCAGAGTCCTGATGGGAGAACCTGAGTCTGGAAGAAGGAAACACTCCCAGGAGGGCGCCATCCTCTGTCCCTTGACTGGAGCCCACCCATCTTCCCGGGGAAGGGAGTGACCAGAGCAGGAAAGGCCTGCTCCCCGAAGGTCATCACTAGAAAGTCAGCCCTGCCCCAGAGCAGACTTGGCCTGGAGGAGGGTGGTTCGGGGCTCCCCGGAGCCACCCGGAAGCGATTCCTACCCAACCTTAACAAGACTGGCGTTAGCATTGCCCTTCCTTAGAATAGGTTTAAAGACAAGAGAACAGGTCCCACACTTGCTTCTGAAAAAACGTTAACTGCACAGACCCACCCAACCACAACCCGGCCACCTATGCCACGCCCAATGGATGCCCCGCCCACCCGTAACCAGGCCCGCCCTCCCGACGCCCCGCCCACCCGACGCGCCAATAAGAAGCGGGATAGTTACATCCTCATCGCGCTCCAGCTCCAGACCCGCCTCCAGGAGGTTCCCTTCATATTCGGCCCGCCGGAAACGTTTGTCATCCTCGTGGAAGTCCTGCGGAGACTCCGGCTCGCTCACGCCCTCTGGGCTCCCCAGCCCGGGCAAGGGCTGGTCCTGCCTGCCGCTGCGGGCGCTCAGCGCGGAGTCCTGGGACTGGGACCTCCTGGCCAGAGTCCTGCTGCCCGAGGGCCTCTTGTAATGGTACACAAGCACGTAGTCCACCTTGCGTTTGCCATCCCGAAAGTACAGGCCATATTTGCACTTGGCGTCAGGGTCCACGGACAGCGAGTTCAGCAGCTGCGGAGCAAGAAGAGGAAAACGCACTCACCGTCGAGTTCTTGGTGACGGGCCCTTGGAGGGAGTGCGTTTCAAACGGAATCTGTCATCCACTCGATCCCTCAATCATTCAACAAACCCGGAATGCAGGCAGGCGCTGGGGCAGCCTTGACCGCAGGCCCCGGGGCGGGTTTCAGTGCCGCCAACCCTCGAGAAGGAAACAGGCTGCTCAGGACGCATGACGATGCCAAGCAGGCCACCTGCCCTCGGAACACTTATTGGTTCCAGGAGCGGGAGCAGACTGGCTCAGTGGGACCAGGTGGCTTGCCAAAGGCGACCGAGTGGACCCCAAGAAGTGCTTTTCACACAGGGTCGCAGGGAGAGCAGAGGCCCAGCGAGGTGGGGGCTTCCAAGGTGACAGACCAGCCTTGAATCCCGTCTGCATGCTCGGGGCACTCCATCCCTCCACAGTGACTGAGACTTGAGGTGACACTCTTTTTTAGCATGGAGTGAGGAAGGGGCCACGGGGGACAGCGGCTGAGCACCGGCCAGGCCCTGCAGTCAGCCAGACCCCAGCTCTAAGTCTGGGCTTGGACCCTTTCCATCTACGGGGCCTGGGGAGGTTCTCTACCTGCCCTGGGCCTCAGTATCCAACTCTGTAAAATGGGAGGGTAATAGAAGCTGCCCATGGCAGCCGGCTGGATTTTCTGAGTTCAAGAATGCCTGTGCTGGGCACAGTCTCTGTCTAAGTCCCTGGACAGGCGCCTGGAGGCCGCCAGGAGCCTGTCACCCCGCCCTTGATCCCAGTGCCATCGGCAGAGGCTCACTCCCCTGGATATCTTGGGAATGTCAGAGAAGTGCAGAGTCACAGTGAGCTAGCAGCTGAAGGTGGTTTCTCTTCCCCTGGCGAAGTGGGCAGGACAGGCAGACCCGAAGGCAGCCCGGGGAAGCCACCAGCCGGCACTTGGAATGAACCACTGCCAGGCAGGGCAAGAATGCAGGACAGGGTCAGACCACGGTGGACACGCGATCCCGGGGGGTGGGCAGGGCGTGAGGGCACGCGGCCTGCTGCCAGCATCCGGGCACTCCAGACTCTCAGTGTCTGTACGAGGCATTCACCCCTGTTTCCCGAATGCGGAACTGCAGCTTCAGAGCTAAACCAGGTGCTGTGTACAGCTCCCACTGGCTTGGGTGTTCATCCTTGGGTCCTGCGAACACCACCTTCCCTCACTTCCTGACCCCTCGATGCCCCCTCCAGCCTGCAGTGGGGCCGGGACATCCTCGCCCCCTTTGCACATGCTGTGCTCCCCACCTGCAGGCCCTCCTTTCTCCATACTTGGTGATTCTGCCTAGCAGGGAGAACTGCCTGGGCAGGGGACAAATGCCCTGTCCTCCCTGATCTGGGGGTCCCCGACTGTGCCTGGTCTCCTGTGCTAGGACTGCCTGGGAACCTTCCGTCCAGGAGCTCTTAACTCACAGGGGCCTCCAGCCAGGTGGCAGGATGCCCGAGACCAGGCCAGGAACTGCCCCCAACACATCTCCATCCAGAACCTGCTGCGCACGCAGCGGGCCCGGCACCTGCAGTGGGCCCCTACTGGCCCCTGGTTGGCTGGAACGATCTCTCCTGCCGAACAAAGTGCGCCAACAAAGCCCGAGAAACTGGGAAAACCATCCAGGAAGCCAGAGGGCGGGAAAACGGCCCTAGGGAGTAGCCCCAACACGAGACAGGAAGACTCCGGCCACTAAGGCCTGACGGTCTGGGGAGCATGGAAATACCCCCAAACGCCGCCTGCCTGGGCCGTGGTGGCACAGCGGCCCGATGGAGCAGGCGTCCTCCTGCCTGAGTTCAGAGACCGGCTCTGCGGCCACTGCCGCCTCACCCCGGGCACACTGTCCCTCTCTTTGTCCTCTGGGTCCTTCTCTGTAAGTGAGGGCCAGGCGGCCATGAGAGCTCTCCCCTCTGTCCCACTTCCCTCAAAGTGTTGTCACAGGATGAAACATGTTACTGTCTGTAGAGTGGTTACTCCCGAGTGTGGACAAAGACAGAGCAGGGGGAGGACAGTCTCATGGCCAAAGTGGACCACGAGTGGAAGATGGTGGCAGGGCCAAATCTGATTTTAAAAAGTTGTCGAAGGGAGCTGGATGCGCCGCCAGGACACGCAGACGGCCGCGCCCAGCACTGGGGCGTGTCCCGGTGCCCTGCCTGGGCCGGGCACGCTCCCAGGGAGAGTTCTTCTTTTTTTTTGCATGTTAACTTGGTAAAATGGGGGTGATCCCCTGAACGAGGGGGAGGGGTTAGCAACCTTTAAATGGAAAGCGTGGTCCTACTACACTTGACCTGGGCTGGGAGGCCCTGGGTCTGGAGAGCAACTCGGAGCTGGGCTTCGAGGGAGCTGGGGAGGAAGCCCCATGTGACCCCCACAGAGGCTGCCACAGTGGCCCCATGATGCCGCAGGGCCCTTCTCTGGAGCCGCAGAGTGGGTGCCTGTGTTGCGTCGGCCAGCACAGAAAGGTGGGTTTCACCTGCAGTGCCAGGAGGTGGGTTAGCCTGAATGCAGAGCCTCCCACCTCAGCGGCTGGGGAAAGCTCCAGAATGTTCTCCTTTCCCCTGCTTAAGAAAGAGCCAGGTGCGTCCGCAGGGAACCCCAGCTTCGTGGGTGGTTGCAGAACGAACACACGCCTGAATGAGTGACCAAGGCTTGGGTTTTACGAACTGTTCCTGGTGAGGGCCCCCAGGTGAGAGACAGAGCTGAGACCCAGCCAGGCCAGCAACTTAAACAGGACACCTCCCCCCACCAACCCCCCCTGCCCCCCCACCCCGGCTCTGAGCATCAGTTTTCTCATGTGGGACCCGGGGACAAAACACCTAGACAGAGGTCACGGGGTTCTTGTGAGGACACAGGGTGACTGACGGGAGGCTTGAACGTGTTTTGGTCACCCCCCGAATATTTAGGGGGAAGTGCTCCCAAAAGGGGTTTCCCCGAGGAAGACAGAAAAAGTGGTGGGAGAGAAGCGGCTGGCTGAGGTTCTGTGGGAAGGGTCGGGACAAAGGCCCTGCACAGCAGGAGTGTCCTGTCCCCAGCCCACACACAGTGAGAGGGCAGTCAACATCTGGGCCACACTGGCCTCTTCAGAACCCCCTCCCCAACCCTGAGAACCTGTGTCCCCAACGGGGCCAGGTGTCACCGTTTATTTGGCCTCTGACCTGGAGTTGGTGCTCTAGGAGCGGAATTCACACATTTGTGCGAAATAGCCAAAGCCCTGACGAAAGTTTCAGGGGACTTGCATATATGCACTTTATTTCCCCCTTCTAAAATGGGAAAAATGAAATCAGTGACCTGCCAAATTTCTTTTGGTTTTGAATTTCAGATGCAAGGGGGTATCACTCTGAACTTCATTTTATTCCAAAAATTGTTTAAATTCCCCCCCTCACCCCCCAATTTGAAAGCCACTAGCACTGTCTATCAGTTTCTGATGATTGGGCAACTTCTGTAAATCTCCAAGCAGATCACCTCCACCTGCAGATAAGCAGGGAAGCGCTCTTATCTGGCAGGCAGGCGGGTTCCGGCGTCAGGTGCCTCTGCGGGCTGCCTGAGCTTGTCCGGCCCACAGATGGGGCCACCGACAGACAGCCGGCAGTGTGCGGGAGAAGGTGGAAATGGTGAACGTGAATGTGTCGTTTCAGGCAATAAATTGCACTCGACTTGGCCTCTAGCCTTTGAGTCATTTCTCACACCTCATTATACAGAAACAATAAAGCCACTTTCCCCTTTGAATTTGGGAATGAGAGAGAGGCTAGGCGCCGGGAGCATCGAGTCCCAGGCGGAAACGCAGCCTGCACGGGACAGGCTCATCCTGACAGCCGATTAAACTGCGCCAACACCTCTCGGAGAGGGTGCAGGTCTGGGAACCCCGTAGGCACTTTTCGAAAAGCAGCCACGCCCTCTGGCCTTTGCAAGCACAAAGTCACTGTCACTGGCCTACTCAAGATAATGACTGGGCAACAGTGATTGGCTTCAGCTGTTCCAGGGATGCCCTGGGAGGTTCCCAGCGCCGCCCCCCCTCCCCGGCTCCAGCTGCTACTTCCAGCTTGTCTGCAGTCACCTATCCTACCCGGGGTCGGAGTCACAGCCCTCAGGCCAGTGATGCCTGAAACCTGCCCACAGGCAGAGGGGAGTGGGAAGGAAGCGTCAAGAGTCTGGCCTGCGCCTGTCTGCGTGCTCCCAGACTGAAAACCCTGCTGGAAGGACCCAGCAGCCTCTCTGCAGATTTTGTGATCTTCCCTGGGCAATGGGGCAACCTCCCCCCCCCCCCCATCCCCCGGACGTGGATACGCAAGGGGAAGGCCCTGAACTGAGACTCCGAGCCAGGGCCCGTTGGGTGAAGGGCTCCACTTGTTACTTCAAGTCCAGCCCGGTCTACCAGTGGGAAGTCTGTTCTGCCCAGGTCCTTGAATGGCCCCTCTCTGTCCTGCCCGCTGACCGGTGTTCTCCGTTCCCACCTCTGGGCCCTCTGTCAGTTGAGTGCTTTGACACCCCTCCCCCACCACGGTTCGGGGGTAACTAGCTGCTTCTCCAGAATGCCCATTCCTTCAGGAGGCCGCCTGCTTTCTTGTTTTGGCCCTTCGCAGCCCTCTTCCCCTGGGCTGCGGGGGTGCTGGGGGCAGCTCATCGGGCCCTCCCTTGGCGCCAGCTTCCCCATGGGGAGCAGCCGCACCTACCCCACAGGGGAGTCGGAGAGTTACATGAGCTGATGGGCAGCGAGAGGCCCAGTGCTGTGGCAGTGTCCCTTGCCACTGCCCCGGGTACTGTTCCCTTACTGCCGGTTCAGGCCCAGATGGGCGAGGCGTCCCTGTCTCGGTCCCAGGGGGTTGGGGGGTGCCCGGGATGCGGCCGGGCCTGGCACAGAGCTGGCACACAGGGTTTGCTGAGATGATGACTCCGGGGCTGCCAAGACCAGGGGTGCTTATCACAGGCAGACCCCTCCCTGTCCGCCCACACTGGTTCCCAGTGCTCCCCGCGCCTGGCCTCTGGGCGAGTCCAGCTGCAGGGGGACCTGGAAATGCCCTGGAGGAGGCCCAGTTGTGTCCCCAGGACGTGTGGGGCCTTCCAGTCTCTGCCCTGAGGGAATTCTGCCTGGCCGGCACCTCCCTAGACGCTAGTGTTCAGCCCTGAGGCTACAGGCAGGCCAGCAAGATTCTGGACTTGGCTGGGGCAAAGGAATGGGCCCGGGGCATTGGCACTGCCCGGGGGAGAGGGGGCCCTGGCCCCGCGGGAGGGGGCGTCTGTTCTCTGATGAGTGAGCAGTCGCCAGGCTCTCCCAGCTGGGGGTGTGGAGCTCAGACCTTCCCTCTTTGGGCAAACTTTGTCCTAACATGAAGCCATAGTCCTCACGAGGGATCCCTGTGACTGCTGGGCCCCAACTGGACAGAAGGTGGGGGCAGCGGGGACCCCAAAGAGGTCTCCAACCACGTGGCCAGCTCTGCACTGGCTCACGAGTCTGGGCTGACACCCCAAGCAGCCTGGGTACTGGGTGGAGACGGGGACCAGCATGGAAAGATGTCTCAACCCCGCCGCAGAACCCGCCTGCTGCCCCAGGCGTTGGGAGTTCCCGTTCCAGCTGCAGGCTCTGGGAACTCCCTGCGTCTTGGACAGGTGAGGGAGACTCCTGCAAGTCCAAGGCCAGACGGTGGCAGTGCGGGGTGGGGTGGGGGGGGGGGGGGGGGGGGGGGGCATATGCCTGGAGGCTGCCACCTTCCTCCAGCGAGGTGGCTCCCCTCCACCCCCACCCTGGCTGCGCCAGCCAGCACCAACAGGAAGGGAATGTCCCATCCAGGGCCCCAGCCATGCTCTCGGGCTTGGGCTCCGGGCCCGGGGCGAAGTGACTGTGAACCGAGCCGCGGAGCCCCAGGGTCTGGGAAGAGGGGCGCCGCATTGGCGGGTGGGTCCCCGGATCCTCAGACCGTGTGCTTGCCGGCGGCTGCACTCCACGTGTGTGGTGGGCGCCCCGCACGCGCCCCCTCCCTCCCCGGCAGCCCTCCCCCCGGCGCGGCACAGGTGCCTGGCCCTCCAGCTCGGTCGCGGTCGCGGCCGCGGCCGCTCGCACTCACCGTGCCCTCGGAAGGCAGGTAGCCGATGTCCTCGATGGCGCAGATGTTGATGATGTGGACGCTGCGGTCCTCGGCTGGGAGCGTCGAGTACTTCTCGTTGACCCTCATCGCGGCTGCCTGTTCGCCGGGACCGCCGGGCGGCGCGCCCTCCCCATCCACGGCCCCGGCGGCCTCTGCAAGCGGACACGGCAGTGTTCGCGGCAGCGCGCTCTCTCGCAGGGGGCCGGGCCTCCTGCTCCGCCCGCCGCCCTCTGCCGCCTGCCGGCCCCGCGCCTCGCGCGCCCACCCTGCCGCGCCCCGGGGCCGCTTGCCCTGCTCTCCTTTCCTTAAAGATATAAGCTTTCTGCGCCCGCTCCGGGCAGGGGCGGTGGCCGCGGGTCAGATTTTCCGTAGAAATTTAAACACAGGAAGAAAGTATTGCATTCCTGCGGGCCCCCTCCAAGTTTTATTTTTATCCGGGGGGGAAAAAGGCCCCTTGGATTTTTTTTTTTCTGAGGGTGGCCGAAGTTTCAAAAGTGGGAGGAAACTCCCAGCAGCCCCCACCTTAAATAAAAGTCTCAGAACCACCGGCGCACTTCTGTGTCGGCCGCCTTGCAGGGGAGAGGCGTCTGAGAGTGAGGTCAGGAATGCACGGCCTGCCCCTTCCCCCTCCACCCGCTGTCAGACTCCTGCCGTCATTCAGCCTCACCTCCTCCACCTCCTCCGGGCAGCCTCCCCAGCTTTCTGCAGGCCCGCCCCTCTGGGCTCACCCTGGCCTCCTGGGCGACTCCCCCCGCCCCTCTGGAGCCCCCTAATGTTGCCGGCAGCCCCCATTTATAGAATGCTAAGCAGTCTGTGACCGGGCACCATCAGAGTGCCTCATACAGCCCCTCTCACTTAACCCTCACAGCCTGGTCCTCCGTTGCACCAGGGGCAGGGGGCTGGAAGGCCAAGGGAGGGGGCGGGGTTTGCCCCCTTGACTGCACTCCATGTATGACTCTCTACTGCCTCCCTGAGGGAGGGCCGGTGACTCCGATCACTCTCCTCCCAGGATGAGCAGGAGCCTGGCACATAGTAGGTGCTCTCAGGACAGGTCTTTAATCCTCTGTCCCAGCAGGAGGAGGACAGTGGTCTCCAGGGGCAGTCACACCCAGGTTTAGCCTCCAGGGGCCACACTGGCAACCCTACCCACTGGGAATGAAGCCTCCTTTTGCTCTGCTTCCCTGCATCCTATTAGCTCCTCACGGTCTGTGCTAGGGCCACCTCCTCCAGGAAGCTGTCCTGGATTGTCCCTCACCCAAGCACAGGCCCCTTTCTGTACCTGCCTGTCCCTCAGCTACGGCACTTCCTTCCTTTACTCCACCTCACTCTATGGAGGGTCCACACAGTCAGCCCTCAAAAACTGCATGAAGAACGGCCACCGAGGAACACTCAGGGCCTACAGAAATGAAGGTAATGAAGCTGCCTTCCAAGGTCGTGGCATCACCGGCATGCAAAGCGTGGGTTCTGGAATCAGACAGAAGGGGGAGGGGGAGGTGGGATGGAGTCTGCTGCCAGCTCTGGAACTTCCCTGCCCTGCGACCTTGGCCAAGGTTCCTCAGCCCCACAGAACCTCTGTCTTCTTCGAGCCTCAAGCGTCCATGAAGCTGCAGCTCTGGGCCAGGCCCGGGGACAGGCTGGGCCCTGGCGGCTGCGGGCACTACTGCTGTCATTCCGTCATTGTGCTGACCTCCCCTTCCCACCTGTCCGGCTCATTTAGGCTCAAGTTTGTTTCTTGAATTCGGAGAGGGGCAGGAAGGTTACTCTGTCCTTGGGCTGGCCTTGCCCATGGGCGCTGGTGGCCCTGAAGGAACCTTTGTCTGCACCTTGGACAGGGATAACAGGTTTGGAGAAGTGCGCGGGGCGGGCCAAGTCCCCGCCGGAAGCTGCCCTCCCCATCTCTGCCATGCCCTGGAGAGGGGGCCCTAAAAGTTCACGCCGTTTAGAGCTGGGAGGAGTCAGTCCGGCCAACGCGCAACTCCGTTCTCCTTCTCGTCGGTAAACAACCACCATGGTGCGACCCTCACGCCGTCTTTCTAAATTTATTTTCAAGACCGAAGGGTCTCGAAGCTCACAAGGCATAATTTCTGAAAAAGAGTGCCTATGCAATTCCTCAGTCCTGGGCATATTGGCATTGCCCACTAGTTTGGGAAGCGACACTTGACTTCTGACCACGAGAGGGTGCTGAGCCCTTTGGGGGCCTCCAAGGTCCAAGGTGGGGGCAGCTCCCTCCCTCCTCACCTCCTGCGCCTGCCCAAGATTTTCGCCCGCTGTTCAGGACGTCTGCCCGCCCGGAGAGCGTCCCTTCTCGGCCACACGATGGGAGACGTCATTGCTGTGCCCCTCTCCCGCCTCTGGCTTCCTCCCAGCCGCTGTCCCTGCCCCCCCAGTGGGCGGTGTGGAAGTGCTTCCCCTGCCAGAGGGGAAGACTGTTTATGGTCTGGGCTGGGGGGGGGTCCTTGGATCCCAGGATGTCAGGGACCAGCCAAAGGAAAACCAACAACCTACCCAAAGCTGGGAGGGGCGACGGGATTCTCCCGGGTTGAGACGGCTTCCCAGCTAGTGGACTGGAAACGGCGGGGACAACTCCAGCTGCCTCCGTGGGGACACCTTGTCGGGTTTGGTCTCTGCCCTGAGGTGCTAACTGCTGACAGGCTGGCCCCCCTACACGGACCATTGGGTTGATCTTGCACTTTCTGGTTCTCCACTCAGGGAGTCCCATCATTTACAAACCCAAAGGGACAGACTTTGGCAGCAGGAGGAACTCCCGGTTCATGAATTAGTAAAACCCCATCTCATTAGCCTAAACCGTGCATCTGATTAGGAGAGTCTAGGCTCGACAGCTCGACATTTTAATGTCGGGTGAACAGGCACAAAGTGACAGGGGACACGGGAGCGGGCTAAGCGAGCGTCCGGGGGCGTGGGAGGCTCGGTAGCGCGCACTTTCCGGCCTGGTTGGTTTTCAGTACTGGCCTCACCTCCTTGCCTGCTCACGAGAGAGGACCCCTCGCTCTCCTCTCCGGAGCAGCGGCGCACGCGTGAGTCTGAGCGCCCGCCTGGCCCTGCGCACCTCACTGACGACGGGGCGGCCCCCCCGGGGTCTGCAAAGTGCAGCGGGACCCGGCCCTCTGACCCCCCTGCCTGGCCTCCCGCCGGGCAGGGGCTATTCCAGGGTGGTCTCTTCTAACGTGCCCACCGCTGACGGTGGGAGCTTCTAGATCAGTCCCGCCCTGGGGACTGGGCCTGTGAGCTGCAGGGGGTTTAGCAGCATTCCAGGCCACAGGTCCCCAGTGCAGGCAGCACCTCCCTCTCTCAGTGTGACAACCACAAGTGTCCCCAGACAGTATCGCATGCCCCCTGGGGGTGTCTGCAGCCTCAGGGAAGCCCTGGGGGCTGGTCTTATCACCCCCGTTTCTCAGATCAGAATGTGGAGGCCTGGGGGAGTGGAGTGCTGCGTGGCATCGCCACCCAGAAGGCCCCGTTCACTTTAGGACTTCAGTGTGCACACTCTCGTACACTCACACCCTTGCACACAGAGCTATGAGGCAGCAGGTTTGGTTTGCTCTCACAAAATGCACAGATCCCCGCCATGGCTGCCCCTGGTTGGTGGTGGGGCTGCTTCTGGGCAGTGGGGCTGCGCTGTTCCAGGTTCGGGCCACCGGGGCCCGGGGCAACTTTCTCCCCAGGACAGAGCTTCAGACTCCGGGTGCTAAGTGCATGCCGTTGACTCATGGACGGGAGAGCCCGGGTGGGGAGGGAGCATGGAAGAAGTGAGCGGCTGTGACTCAGGGCTATTGTGAGCACCACCGGCGGTCCGCCCGCTCCCGTGCTGGCTCCACGCCCTTTCCGAGTCTCCGGTGGGCAACACCAAAGAGGCAGATGACTTAACTCGCTGAAAGAGACTCGGGGGTAATTATCCCGGGGAAGACGTGCCTGGGGGACTCATAATGAGAGCTGGTGGGAGGGAGAAGGCCACTGTCATTTCCTTCCCTCGATGATGTCAGGCCTCTGAGCAGAGGCCTGTGAGTTGCAGCTGGCGGGGAGACCCCTGCGGGCATGGAAACCGCTGTCCCGCGTCCTGGAACACGGCCAAGGCGTGAAGCCCTGTATGGGGGATTGTTTTCCTCCGCAGAACCCACGCTGCTGTCTCCACACCCCGGTTTTCAGAGGCTGCTTTCTGAGAATTCCTAAGAACTCTGAAAACACGCCCGGGGTGGGTCGGCGGAGCCCGCCAACGCCAGCTCAGCACGCCACCTCCTCCCGGAAGCCTCTCTGGTCCCGGGTCACTGGCATGACTCATTTCAGTTCCGCCACCGGCTCCTGGCTCCGGCCCGGCGGCGGGGCTCATTTCTGCCCCGTCGCCCTCCTGTCTCCTGTGTTATTTCTGCGCCCAGCACCCCTTCCTGTCCTGCACATCACAGAGCACGCTTCTGTTTATGTTGAACACGCCGTGGCCCCGTGCTCGCCAAGCCAGTGCTGCGCACCATCCTCCACCAACACCGACTCGAGGTCCCGTGTCCCGAGGGTGATGGCCACCGGCTGCAGGTGGCCTTGCACCGAGACCCCGCCACCTGCCACCGCAGGCCGGGCCCCTTTCTGTGGGGGTGCAGGGGAAAGCCCAGGCTGGGTCTCAAAGAGCCCCCTCCTCCCCATCAGGCAGGAAGCACAGCACTCACCCCGACACACAGACAGACAGACAGACAGATGGCCGCCCCTCCTAAGCAAGCCTGTCCACCTGCCCAGGGGCTAGGGGACGGGTGACAGGGCTGAGCCAGTGCTGGACCAGCCTGCCCGGGACGCCGCGGAAAGCCCGAGTTGGAAAGCCTCCTCCGCTGGCTCAGTCCTTCTTCCCGGGGCTCGGAAGACCGAGAGGACTGCAGACGGCCCTGCTCTGGGGGCCAGGAAGTCCTCTCCTCGAGGCCCCACAAGCTTGAGGGCTGCACAGCCCCAGGAGAAGGGACCGCCTCCCTGAGCTGAGCCCAGCCGGGTGGCAGCCAGGACTCCCTGCCCCCGCCGCTAGGTGCTAGGTCCGTGGAGCCTCTGACAGCAAAGGACCAGGTCGCCTGGCTGGAGGCCGCGCGGGGCCCCAGGCTGTGAGCCGGGTGGAGCTGAGCTGAGCTGTTCTCACCATGAAGCCCAGTGGCCCCACACCCTT